TGTGAGGGTGTGGGTGTGGGTGTGGATGGGGTGTGAGGGTGTGGGTGTGGGTTTCCTATTCAACTACACCCACACCCACACACCCACAGCCGGGATTCGGACAGTTGGTCGTGGACAGTTGCGCGCGGACAGTTGGTCGCACTGACAGTTGGTCACTAGGATAGATGGTCGCAATGCAAGTTTTCACAGTGATTATGAATAAAATAATCGCATACCATTATTACAACAGATTAATGTCGTATAGAAGAGTAGTCATCATCATAAATTGATTAATTTAATTTTTTCAATAATTTTCGAAATTGCTGATTCTAATTAGATGATCATTCTCATTTAACGACAGTAATAATGCTTGTTATTCTAACAAAAGCTTCTAAAAAATACTTTTACTAACATACAACCGTTATTCGTATACAATCGATCGGAAAAATGTAACAAAAATTCTTTGGTAATATACGTACTCAAGAAAATACTCTTGCCATGGACGATTACACGCAATGTAAAATTAAGAATTTATAGAGACAGTGAGCGAACATGAAAATCATATTGATAACTCACGATTCGCAACGACTCGTAAATTTTATGAAAGATTAAGACAAGATTTAGAACAGAATCAAACAAAGCCGCATTATATTTTAACTCAAAAAAACATCGGCGTACCAGATGAAGTACGTGTTCAATTACCGATTAATGTCGGTTTAAAACGAGATGTCCGTCGTTGGCGACAAGAAAATATTACTGAATCAGCATCAGCAACAATAGATTTTCCAGTTATTCCAGCAAAATATCATCAAAAAATTGGGAACACTTTCTTTCTTTGGAATGATACTAACCGAGCTTTAAACAGAATGTTACTCTTCTTTACTGATGAACAATAGAATACCCTTGAAAATCCCATAGCAAATTTTTAAAAAACAAAATTCAACCAAACGCTTTTGTTGCAAGAAACATGGACTTGTGCGACCAAATGTCCAAGTGACCAACTGTCCGTGCGATCAACTGTCCTGCGAGCAACTGTCCGCGCGCAACTGTCCGCGGCCAACTGTTCGTGCGACCAACTATCCTAGACCCCCCACAGCCACAGCCACAGCTACACCCACACCCTTTTTCGAATCAAAACCGGCTAGTTTCTACAGACGTGAAATTGAACTATTGCCAGAAAGATGGGCGAATGTTGTTGAAAACAATGGCGATTATATTGCTGATTGATGTTTGTATATCTTTGTTGAAAAATAAATTTACTGTTGAACCAAAAAAACAAAAACGTGCAGAACTTATGCGCCAACCGGATAATTGTTGAATATATCAAATTTATAAAAATAAAATCGTGTCGTTTATTATATGGAATTACTTATTTTTCTCTCTGAGGAAAAAATTTCAGTCTTTCAGAAGAGTCTCTTATCAACTTGGATAATAAGAGAATTTTTCTGTTGCGTTGCATTCATTTGTTAGAAAAACTAATTTGACCACAACTAATGTAACGTTATTTGACAAGCACGAAACTTATAAATTTTTTCGCTGATAGGGCTGAAAATTCTCGTTGATCCAATACGCTCATGTTTAGGTTTATATTTATGCGTTTAAAAGTAATTTAAGTATTATACAGAAGCCCTTCTTGGTAATTAAGGCCCCGTCAAAAAAAGTCAATTTTCGTGAGAACTGTCAAAATTGAGATAAATACATAGGAAGATAGCTCGTCGTTTGCTCTTTCAGAATCGATAAAAATTTTTCCTGAAAACTCCATTTTTCCTAGAAACTTTTCAGGATTTCAGAGAACCAGTTTTTGAAAAACCAGCGGTTTTTTGAAATATCCAAAAATCTTTTTCGTTTTTTCTCATTTTTCGCTTTCTTTTACGCGCATCCCAAATTTCTCTGTAATGGTTCGTCCAATGTATTCATATTTTTTGTTTGTTTGAAAGAGCGCGTCAAGATGCAGGGCACGACGAGCCCCGATTCTTCAATTGAGTTCTTTTTTTATTATATATAAAAACACTTATATAATTTGGTGACAATTTTTCGGGTGCTTTTTCAGTGATTGAAATAGTCGTTGTTTTTTTCCGCTAAAAAAGTCAATATTTAAAAAAAGTAAGCCCGTCATGCCCTGCATCTTGACACGCTCTTTCTAATGAAAACAAGAAATTAATACATTGATAGGACCTGGACGGAGAAAAATGGGTTGCCAAATGAGCTAATTTTTACCATTGTTTAATCAATAACTCTCTTAAACTCCATTGTTTAGGGCTGAAAATTTTACCACAGCTTTCCCACTTTAGCCCCAACATATTCTCCAAATTTCAGCCCATTTGAATGCTCCTAGGCTGAGATCGGATTTTGAGGGGGGCCTTAAGAAAAATGAATTTTGTAATTGGCCGTTTTTGTTATTTATTTCACAAAGTCAGAGTGATCAAGAACGTGAAGTATTGTCAGAAGTATTTTCTTTATTAATCTGAATGTGGTTGTAGATGAAGAAAAGATCACCGCTTATTCATTTTCACTAAAACTCACATTCATATACATACTCACATCAATCTTAAAAGATTTCTATAAAATCTCAATATAAAATCATTTTTCTTATAGATTTTCTACAAAGAAAGAAATAACATATCGCTCAAACATTTTTTTGCAAATCACTTCTGACTTGAGCTTGACTTTCTTTCAAAAATTGATATTTTGCTCAGAATCATTCAGATCGCATGGGATTAGCATGTCAATGTCATATACCCAGACTCGCTTTTGAAAATATTTATTCTTAAAATATTTCATCATTTTTCAAATGTTAGTTATGAATAACTATAATATTTATTGAATCTCTAATGACAATATTGGAAAGCTTGACTTGAAAATTTTCAATCAGATATTCAGTGGAATAAGTTTTTTTTATCGTACTTTTTCTTAAGCATAAAGTGTCAATTTACACAGATACTTCTATAACTTATGGCAAACATATCTTTGTTAGATTAATTTCTAAACTTCATCTGAAAGTTAGAGTAATATTAACTAATCGATGTGAAGCATGCAAATGTATGGCGCATAATGCAGATTCATTCCACTATTCTGATCCTACTTTTCTTAGTTTTGCATCAAATCTTAAAGTTTTTACTACTTCGAAGACACTAATGTTATGTGTGCAATACATTTGAAGCTACAATTCAGAGTTAATCATTAGATTTTTCTATATTTAAAATTAGAATTTTTTCATTTTTAACTTGACAGATAAGTTTTGAAGCATGAATGACACAATATGTTTATATAATCTTTTCTAAAATGACCATCGATTATTAGTATTATGAATACTTAGCTATCAAATCATATCACTTTAAATGTTTAGGTTTAATTGACAACAGACATAACCTTAGTTGACAGTATCGAAAACTGTTGAAATACTCTGCATTGATATATATTTTCTTTGAGAATAGAATCGGTTTCAAATTGAACAGTCACATATAATATCATTAAGATAAGAAACGATGTTACTTTTACAGATACATTACATTAGACTTAAATTATGATACATACATAT